CAGGGCCCCAGACGGTCTTAAAAGCGAAGAACGCGAAACGAGGTGCCCGGCAGACAGGTCCGCGGAGAGCATGCTCCTGCGCCCCACCGCCTCGTCCCGCTACCTTGAGCTTGCCTCTGAAGGAGCGTCTCAACGGCTTGCCGCCGCCTCGCAGCTTCCCTCGGAGCACTCTCCGGCCGGGCGTAGGAGGCGGAGAGGAAGCCCCAGCATAGCTCTGCCATTGGCTGCTTTAAAAGGCCAACGGCTCGCTCTAAGCAGCCTATTGGCCCGTTCGGCTGCTCGGTGACGGTCAAAGCAGTCTTCCAGTTCCGGCTCAAAGGGAAACCGCGGTTTTTCCGATCACGTGGTCTCATTTTACCGGCACACTGAGACCCCAGAACTCGTGCCGTAGGAGCAGAAACTACAACTCCCAAGTAGCATCGCGCCAAGGACGCGCTCTTATGCGCCCACGCCTGTGCGTGTCATCCTGGGTGGTGTAGTTTCCACGGGGCGGATGCCCTGTTTGTGCTCTGAACAGTAGGCGGGAAAGTAGGTCTTAAGGTCCGCCAGTGGCGCCCTCCTCCCCCGTAATCACTCAGACTTAAGAATCCCTTTCTGGTCAATACTCCTATAGAGCTAAATCATTCTCTTCTTGGCGTGTATACGTCTGTAAAATGAACCAGAAATTGAAATAGAGAGGAAATACTTGCTCTGATCAACTGCCCTATTTTGCCTTGATTCTTTCTCATTTTCCTGGCGTTTGTACTATCAACCAGCTCTCAGGTTTCCCATTGTCTTAAAATTCTGCCCACCCCATAGAATATCGTCCTTATTGTTTTACCTCTTCACCCCATCGTTATGAACTTATTGAGCATCCACTGCATGCCAGCCCTGGTGAAAGGCTCTGGGAACATGTATTTAATCAGACTAGTCTTTGTCCTGAAGGAACTCCCAGTATCCAGAAGGATGGACAGACTAGTAAACAAATACTCTGCAATGTGTTACAGCTTCTAGAGATAGGTTTGTCATGGAATCTTCAAAGGGCAATGACAAGCCTCTTCCCTTCCACCATACCCTGCTACTCCACAAGGTTTCAGGCTGTTTGCTCACATTTTTTTCTGGAGTCCTCCAGAAATACAGAGCACCAAGAAGCTTTTCAGTAATGAGAAATTATTTCATCTCAACTAAAGAAAATTAATGCCTAATCAATAGAATTCAGTAACTGAGTTACTCTTGAGCCTCAATTTTTCAATTTAATCTATATTCTATGATCTCTTTTTCACTACCTTTTTAAGAAAAAAAGTTTCATTATATAATTTTGTATGAAGCAGGAGTCAATTGTTGGGGTTAAAATGTTTAACTTTTAAGGTAAATTAATAAGAGAGAGCTGTTGATCTTTATGCGTTCACACTCTGAATGAATGCACTTCTTAAGATTTCTGACAATAAACATGTACAATGACAACCCTTCTACTTATTACATTGATATTACTGCTAAAAGATTCTTGCCCTTCTTCCTTACCAGGCCTAGTTCTTATTTCTCTATTTCTTCTCTTTCAAGAAGTTAATAGGCAAGTTGAATAATTTCAAATGTAGTGTCTTACTTCCATTCTAAGTTAAGCTAAATAATTTTATCTCCTGACTTATTTGGTTCCCTCTCCCAGTTGTTTAATTCTATTAGTGTTTCGAGATTCTGAGCATAAATTATCCACTAACAAAATCTAAGTGTATTTCATTATCCAGTGTATGATTCAGGTCCCTCTGGGCATGCAGTTGCAGCCCGACTCAATTTGAGTTTTAAGAAACGTCAATCTTTTAAATCCAGTTTAGATCCTGAAAGGAGACTGATGATTTGGCTTATTATTCAAATGAATTGATAGGCTTGAGATAGGAAATCTGGCAACAATGGAGTCTTGAACATTTTAAATCCAAATGCAAAGTTCTATGTGTACATGTGTGTTAGAGTTAACTGTGAAATTCCTAGAACGTAATTACACTGTTAGATCATCTATGACGGCTAAATCCTGGATTAGAAAATGGGTGAAATATACATTATATAAGATAAACTGCAAAAGGGTCATTCCCTAAAATCACCAAGGCAAAGTTTCTCCTTAAATGCCTTCGGTGACTAGGGGAAACCACTTCCTATTAAAGAAACAAGCCTAAGGAAAATGTTATTAAAACCCATCAATATTATTAAAACCATCTTCAAACTGTAACTAACTTACTGTAATGCAAACAATATGCTATGGATGGAATATCCCTATACAAGAAGTCCCTTGGATGTCATTTGGTTGTTTCTGCATGGAATATTCAAATAGCAACGGTTAGAGGAAAACAATTTAAAGAGGATTATCTGGAGCAAGAGAACTTCAGTGAAATAAATATGTGTACACAAAAAGTCAGAATATGGATCCTCTGTGAAACTTGTTTTCTTTCTCTGACCACCCAAAATTTAGAATGGGTTCTCGGTATGTTTCAGGGCCCAGGAAATATGTATTGACCTGAACTCAGTTGAAATGCAGTAAATGCAGTTGAACCAACCTAGTATTGGCAGCTTCATCCTTGGGTAATATTCTTCCTGACTTCACCTTGAAATAGTTGTGATTTGAATGTGAAAAGTAAAAAAGGTCAATGTAGCAGCAGATCTTTTTGGTCAGATATTTTACACAGAATACTGTGGGTCACATAAACATTTACAGATATTTCTGTGTATTTTCTCAAAATGCAGATAATTTCTATGTTTTTTGGTTCTAAAAGACAAGTTTCTCACCGAAATGTTTCCCTTCTAGAGGGTGAGACGGAGCTTGGAGCTGTGAGCTCCCAGCTCTTTAGTACCAGCTTAAGATGGAGCTGGCTAGAGGCAGGAGCTCGCCCTACCTATTGCTGAACCAAGCTAATGCTTTGCTTTCCGACGCTTTATAAGGAACAGGTGGCAGCAATTTAACCGGAGAGAGAGGGTTTGCGATTTGCACCTCTCTGGCGGCTATTCTTCCGGCGACTATTCTCTCCAGGCAGCATCTTCCCAGTCTCAACGTGGTGGCAGGTGTCTGGACACGGAAGCCCGTGGGCGCCTCTTATGCGTATCACTTTTCAATTCAGAAACAGCAGCATGCTGGCTGGTGACCCAGCCATTTAGCCACGCACTGTGCAAACTATTAACAACAAAAGAGTGTGGGAAGAGCATTTGTCTCCTGCGCCTTCTTTCGGGCCTCGGAGCCCTCCTTGGCCGAAAAGCGGCCTTTCCGCATTCAGTTCCCGCTCCGCGCGGGTCACAATCTATTCACGGACCCGGGAACTGTGCTGACTGCAAGCTGGTGGCGCTGGGCTAAGGGCGACAAGCAGACCCTTCACCAGATTAACGCTGCCCCCTGCCCTACACACCCGAGGAGAGGAGGCACTCTGCACAGCTTGAACCACGTCGTTGCGCGCCCTGCTTCAGCCAAGTCCAAGAAGATCACGGTGCAGGATGCTCCTCGCGCCCTGGCCTGGCCCAATCCCGGAAGGCTACTACTTCAGCAGCAAGACCGGTTCCCGGCCTTTGTCTTTCTCCCCGCGGGCTCTGGAGCTGGATTCCATCCGAAGTGAGCCCCAGCCCGCACTGGGATTCTGCGCCATTGGATGAGGGTGGGAGGGAATGTGCAGTTCCAGCCACGTGCGGCCTGGGCAGTGGCTATACCCAGACCTTTAACCCCGGATCCCGACCCCACCCTCCACGTGGTGCGAGTCCGATCTTTGCAGACCCCTGTAAACTCTACCACGGAAAATGAAGGAAACCTTCCGCGCATTGTTGTGCTGGGTAATTAACCCCTCCAAAGTTAGCAACGATGTTTAAAATGTTTTATTTTTTTTTCTCCGCTTTAAAAATATTTACAGATCGGAACTCTCCCCATTTCGCCCCTACCCATCCTCGGGATGAAGGAAATGAAAAGAGATTATTAGATCATTGTCCACAGCCCCTGAGGGCCTGGCTTGGCCGAGCGTGTGTGCATGTACATATGTACAGGTGTATACATGGGCAGGGGTGGGGGGAGTATACCTGGTTTCGTTGGTATTTTTCTGATTTTTTTCAACCAATCAAAGCCAATCTGGCCAAAACTCCTTTTCCCATCACCACCCGAGAATATCCCTCTCCAAAGTGGTTTTCTAAGCGTATTGGTTTCATTTGGGTAGAAAGCAGGCAATCTGGTTTGAGGAATACCGATAAATACCCGAAACAAAACAAAAAGCAGGGCGGAGGCCATAAATAAGAGATACTGAATACACATAGTGTATTTCTTAATATTTCTGGAATCACGTCGCTTTACTCCGGAGGTCTGTGAAGGGTGCAGCCCGCGCCGGGCTCCGGGGCAGTCGAAGAGGTCCCGGGCGAGCCGGAGAGTGGGCGCGCGCGGGCAGGTGGGTCAGTAGTCGAGCTTGTTGTAGAGGTTGTAGAGCGGTAAGGCCGAGAGGTTGCTGCTGGGGTAATAGAGCGGCGCGGGGAAGGCGAGAGAGCGTGGCACCGGCACGCGCAGCAGCGAGCTGTCCCGGAACACCAGCGGCATGCCCACCAGAGTCTGCGCGGACGCGTGCGCCATGTTGGCCGCCTCCAGCTCGGCGGAGAGCTGCCGCTTCCACTTGTTGCGGCGGTTCTGGAACCAAGTCTTGACCTGGGTTTCGGTGAGCTGCAAGCTGGAGGCGAGACACGCACGCTCCGAGCTGCTCAGGTAGCGCTTCATATCGAAGGTGGACTCGAGCTGGTACACCTGGCTGCGCGAGAAGACGGTGCGCGTCTTCTTCTTGGCCGCGCCCGCCTGCCGCTCGGCGCCGCCGTCCCGCGGCCGCTCCGGTCCCGGGGAGGGAGAGCCCGCCGGCAAGAGCCTCTCTTTCTCTTCTTTAAAGTCCGGATGCGAAGGAGAGAGAAAAGGCGAACGCTCGGAGCTCGCCGGCCCTGCGCCTCCGCTGCCCTTAGGAGTACCTGAGAAATAAGAACAGACAGGAAGGCCTTGGAGTTGAAGAGCTTTGGAGATCCACAACTCTTCCCGGGACTAGAGTGTTGCCAGAAGTCTGCAATCTTGGTCCCTTGTTACCAACTCCCTCCTCTTCTCCCTCTAACAAGCACCCCAAACCCAGCACCTCCGCCTTTAAAAGCTACAGAAGAAGGACCCAGCTATTGGAGTCTGGGAATCTGGGGTCTCTGTGCTCCCACCTTTATGAAAGGATAGGTGGCAGCAGGGAGAGGAGGCCTGGAGGGGGAACGTTACCATTATAAAGGTGAGTTTGTCTGGTTATAACTGAGCTGGAAGACTTCCTCCAGCTAAATAGGTCAGCCTCATTTCACAGGCCATTTGTTTAGAAATCACGCTAAGGACCAACTCGGGATCTCCTTCCTCAAATGTAAAGAGGAACCGTCTCTGAAACGCACCATTGTCAATCATCTTAGAGTGCTAATCATTCCGAGGAGGAGAAGGAGACACAGACAGAAGGGGGGGGGGAGCAGAGCAGAGAATGCAGTAGAGACAGAACATATAGACCTGACTTGCAGACCACCTGTCTGGAAAGAAAATATCCTGTGTGCAACCAGCCAGGTGCCCAGACCGCTGTGGTCCACACTCTCTCCAACCCGACCTTCCCAAGAAGCCCTAGCCGCGCGGTGGGTGTGCTATCCTTCTCCTCCCGAGCTTTCCCGGGCCAAGAAGCCACCGCCGCGCTGTTGTGCCCTCCCCTCGGCCCCAGACCCCCAGCGGCCAAAGATCTGACCCGAGGGGGAGTCTTGACGGGGCACGCAGCCTCGCTCCCCTAGCGCTCACTCGCTGCCAGACTGCAGAGTGCGATCCTTACCCAGGCAAGGAAAAGGGATGTGGGGGTGGTGCTTGGGGCCTGGCTCCTTGGGGCCGTGCGGGTCTGGGCAGAAGCAAGCGGGCGCCTTCCAGCCGTCGTCCGGCTCCTCCTCCTCCGAGGACACCGACAGGCTGCGCTTCCTAGCTGGCCAGCCGGCGGGCTCCCGCGGTGCTTCGGAGGGGCCCCCGCCCAGGATGGACTGGATGGTGAAGCTGGAGACGCCACCGGCAGCCGGACACCCCTTGCCCACATCTTCCTTGCTGCCCATCCTGGGTTCATAAGAAATCGGAGGAAACCAAGAACTCCCTTTAGAGACGATCTGGGCGGAAGGTGGTGCAGACAGGCAGGCAGGGGGGAGGGGCGGAGAGGGGAGCTAGGGGGAGGGGGCGGGGAGGTTGGTGGGGTGTCCCTTCCGCGCAGGGGACACGCGGGTACGGGACGGCTGCGCGGAGGTCCCTGCCCGCCCGGCTCTAAGTACGCCCGCCCAGACCCAGTGCAAATGCCCCTTCCTCGCCCACCAGCTAGCGGGGTCTCCGGCTGCGCGGAGGCGGCGCGGCCTCATTTGCATAGAGGTTACCGGAACGCGGCCAATCGCAGCGCCGCAGAGCTGCCCCGGAAATTTTCAAAAAGCTCCGGCCCCGCACTCAGTGCGGGAGAGCCCCTGGAGTACGGCAAGAACCCGGCCGGCATCGAATCTGTCCAGCCAGGGGCGTCTAAGGGCCGAAAGCCGCGTAAATTCCAGCCTAGGTCCTGGTATCTACTTGGGATCCCTGCCTCTTCTGGGACAGGGACAGCGCGGGGCTCCGAGCTGGAATGGCCTGCCACTGCCGCAGGCAACAGATCTTCGCGCCTCCGAGGGCCTCCGAGAGGCTGCCACCACACTCCCCAGTCCTCCACTCCTTCCAACCCCAGAGGGACTGGCAGAGCTGTCACTTGGCGACCCTCCTGGGGGTGGAGAGGGTTAAGTGCTTGGGTCTGATTGACGCTGTTCGCTTGAGCGTAGCAGGGAGCCCCAGGATCAGACTTCTGCCCTTCCTCGCCTGCAAATCCCATCCCTACCCGGGCCAACCGGGCTAGATGATTTTGGGGGCGGGAGATGGAGAAGCCCTAGATCGCGCGTCAAGAGATGCCGGTTCAAGTCCCAGCAACACCGATTACATCCAGCGAGCTGGCTTGAACAAGTCTGGTCTCAGTCAAAGCGTCTCTGACCTCAGGTGAAATGAACTCATTAGTATCTCTTCCTTCTTCTGTTTTGAAGATCACCCAGGTATGGATGGAATAGCGCCAGAAAGCCTACAGTAGGAGCGCTAGTAGCACATAGTAGTTACTTCCTAAACCTTTACTGAACAGCGGCCGACCGGCCTTCCCATGCCAGAGATGAATCTCTTTTTCGTTGTCTATTGGAGGTCTTGTAATTGCTAGAGAAATAGAAACACTTTTTCCTGGGAAAGGAACGGAAGGAGGTAGTTATGATGACACAGTTTTGGACTTTTGCAGGGTCCACTCAACTAGGCTGGGCAAGATACTTATAACTTTCCGAGGCTCCGTTTCCTAAAATCGAGGGAAGTAATCGCCTACTTCGCAGAGGATGTGATGAGATTCAGATATCCAACACCAAAGCTGGCACGTGGTGGTAAATAAACCAGGGTTCCCTGTTCCCTCCCTCCTTCTCACAGTCCCCTTTGGAGTTAGGGCTCTTGCTCCATAGTTCCTAGAACAGCTATTATCTGATCTATAATCACTCGGGCACCTGCAAAAAGGCTTGGGGCCACAGTACTCTACACTAGTTTTGACCGAAATTGGGGTAAGGCAAGGCCCAAGCGCCCAGGCTAACCCTACGCTCAGGCTGCAGCTTCCAACTGCTCAGCCAAGAGGTTGAAGCTGTCTCTAAGGTGCACCCCAAAACAGCCAGGAGTGAGAGGATACTGTGGAATCAGTCCCCACGAATGTCCAGACGCCACACCATGACGATGCATTTCCTTCCTCTCCCTCACTGCTCCCGGGCTGAGTAAAGCGCTTATAATATCATTAGCCGCGGTGAGTAACCGACTGCGGCCCTGCCAGTGGCAGAACTCCCTACTTAACTCCTCCAAGGGCTCGTTAATGGGCTAATTGATTAGGAGTCAGCAGCGCAGCCGGGACAGGGGAGGCAGGAGGAGGGGGCCAGGGTCTGTGCGCCGCGGCCCGGGAGGCTGGCGAGGGGCAGGTGCCGGCCTCCGTCACCGCATTAACCTCTTCAGGGCTCGGCGGCGGGGTCGAGACACATTACAAATGGTCAGCTTTAATCATGGTGTCAGCTCATTAACCCGGAAGGACCCAGTGCTGAAATACAATTTGTGAGTCCTCCTATACGCGACCACAGCGCAGGCTCCGGGGTCTTCCCACAGCCCCTCCGGCGCGCTCCCGCTCATTTGTGGGGTAGAGGGGAAATGGAAGGAAAAGAAAAGTCCGACTCTCTAATCCCCTGCCTCTCCCTCGCACCCTGAGCCAAGAGAATCCCTGGAAGGAATTGGCCAGTCCACTTGGCAGCAGAGCCAGCTACTCGGCTGGGGAAGAAAGCTCAGGGTTGGGGGAGGTAGAGTTGGTTTGAACGTTTCTGCGCTAGCTAGTAGTTGGTGCCAGGAACATGCTGGGAGGCCTGACATTGTTCACTTTAATCCTCAGAGCAAACATGATGCACACACCCCCCACCCCCCCACACACACACACACATCGTACAGAGGAGGAAACTGAGGCTCAGAAGAGAAAGTGAATAGGTCAAGCAGAGAAAGCAAGCTCGATGCTCAAAGTTGTTCCACTTCAGATGCCACGCCCCCTGGGAGAGAAGAGCGGGCATTGACATTGAGCTTGTAGAAAGGCAAGACCGAGGACACTATCAGGGCTGGTTTATGCATGGGGTCAAGAGCCAAGGAGTTGACATGTTTCAGGGAAGGGAGGCAGCGTCCTGGCCTCTGAGGTGGGCTTCAAATAAGCAGCTCCCAGACCTGCAAGAAAATGGAAAGCCCACTAGGGTAGCCGGGCTGGAGGACTCAAACTGGAAAACCAGGAGGTCTTGTGACCCCATTTCCCCGCTCTGGGTTGGTTTGGGGGAGTCAACAGGAGCCATCTGGGGTAGTATTCCTCCAGCCTTGTCTCCTGTTCGCCTTGAGGGTCTGGTCCTCACAGGGGCACTTCCTTCGCCCCCACATCCTGCAGCACAAATGCTTACTCACACGCATTCATTCAACAAACGTTCCGTCCCCCCTCCCCACCTCCCAGCCAGGAAAATGGTGGTGGGCCCAAAGCGGAGCCAGTGGAGACAGAGCAGACTTTGCACTCTGCCGCCCCATGGGCTGCAGCTCTCCTGTGCTCTCCTCGATTCCAGTGGTCCTGGAGCATCAACAGCAGTCACAATGCAGGAGTCCAAAGGGTGAAGACACTATTTTCGTAGCCACCCCTTTCGGAGATCTCATCACCGAGAGCGCAGAGGCCCGTAGACGCCCTCTCCTGGGCCCAGCGTAGCTGCAAAACCCCCTCCCAGGAACTCAGATGTACCAACCACCACCCATGGACACCGGGTCTCTCCATCCCCAAGTATTGCAATCCTTCAGCTCAGTACCACTCCCACACCCTGCCCCACCCTCCTTGTCTCGGGGTAGCTCCGCCCCTTCCTACTGCACGGTTTAGGAGCCGACCCCCTGGAGGATTGCCTTCCGCGTCTCTGGGATCGCCCCCCCCCCCCACACCCTCCTAGGAATAAGGAATAACTGGGTTCCAAGGAATGATAAACTTTCCAAGACTGAAAGAACGCTTAAAGTTTAGGTCCCGAGATTATGCCTCTGCTCAATATTAAAGCGGCCCAGAGCAAACTTGCCGAGGAGCCTAATAAAAATTGATCCTCTCTGCTCTGCGGCGGTCGGGAAATAGGCTGGCTGAGCCGGGTAATAGTGGAAGAAGGCTCCCTCTGAAATGACAGATGAAGTCATAAACAAGTTTGATCTTGGAATCAAGCTTCGATAAATATTAAACACAGCCTCCCCCCCCTCCGCCTTTACGCGAGTGGATTATGATATATGGCGCGTCCAAACTTTAAAATAAGGAAATACCAGAGAAAATGATCTCAATAAATTTTCTAAGTATAAACGTTGATTATGTTTCGATTTTCATTCAAGGGCCTCTGCTGTTCGTTCTTTGGTGCAAATGACATCTCGCAATAGGCTTTTGGGGAAAAGGGCTCCCTATTTGAAAAAGAGAGCCCCAGAGGTGTACAATTTATGTAATCTGCGGCTGGAAAATGAATTGTGTAATTTATTGGAAAACAGAAAGTCATGAAGATTGGATCAGCATAGCCGAGTCCTGACACCCCCCCTCCCACATCCATCAAGTTCCAATTAACAGCCTAACCAGAGAGCTTTAATGGGTTTCCAATCTAGTGGCCTGATAGACTCATCAATTCCTCTGGGAGAAATTAAGAAAATCGACCGCCCCTTGGCGACGCAGTGTCATTCCTTTCTGCAACTATATGTCAAATTAAAAACACAATTAAAATTTAAACTGTTTCAATCAAAGGGTGCCCTGCAACCTATGTTTCACTTAATAGAACTTTGATGAAAATCTGATGCGTGTACTCCATCACCAAGGGGGGCGAGGGCAGCGAAGGAGCTCACCAGAGATGGAGATTCTTTATATTTCTTTAAGACATTATCGCTGGGGTGAGACACACCAGGTGACTCCACCTCGCGGCTCCTGCCTGGGTGATGGGCGCAACACAGCTCTCTCCTTCACTCTCTCCTTCGCTCTCGCTCTACACCTCTCCCCCATCTCCTTTTCCTCTCCATTCATCGCAACCGGAAGGGATCTTTTTGGAATACCTGCCACCCAGACTTTGGACAATTTCCCCCGCGAGAGGCAACTCCTGGAGCAGCCTGAAGCAGCAGCCAAGGAAAGGATCTGGGCGAGTACTACCAGTATGCACCTCCCCGCAACTCTCCCAAGGAGGGGGGCTGCGGCTTCCAGCTATCCCTTGCCGGGGTCAGGGAATGCCCAGACGCCCTTAAGATACACTGTGGAGTCTGGGAGTTGGAAGTGTGTGGGAGGATTCCCAAGCGGGGAGGGGGATGCCGAGGAAGGGTGTGTGTGTTAGTTCCACTGAGAATTAAGGTTTTTTGCCGCCTCAAACCCTGCTGCCCACCTTATCCCCCCATTCAAAGTACTTCCGCAGGAGAAACAAGCTGGGGGAAAAATGCATCCCCAATCTTAACCTAGGATCCCTGTCGGAGGTACCAGCCAGTGCGCCAAAGTATACTCAGCACAGTTATTTTCACAGATCTTTCCCCTCTTCCACTGCCACCCCCTCCTTGTTTGCAGATCAAAAGGTCAACGCCATCCTCTCTGCACACGGAAACCGCAGGCACCTGCACACACACAGGCGTTCACTTTTCCAGAAGCAGACATCCAAGAGTTGGGGATGGCTTATGCCCTAAAGTCAGAAGGACCCGTACAAGCCCTAGAGGCGGCCGGCCAGTGAGCGGGAAGCTGGGAGGAGGAGCCTCCAGGATAGCTCCTGCCGGGTCAGGTGTGCTCGCCAGTGCCCGCCTGGCGCACTGAGCCTGCCTGGCCGCTGGAGGGATTTCTCGGCGAGTCGTGGTTCTTGAGCCTTGGACCCGTCTCACGCGGACCAGTGGGGCGGGGCGTAGGGGGGTCTTCTAGATACTCTGTGGAGTCTAAGTTTGGACCATTAAGGGAGAAAGGCCCCCAGCTGGGTCACTGATCGTGGACGACCTGCAGAGGCAGGACGGCTCCGCCCGGCTGGGGTGGGGGTGAGGGGGCGGGCACGGAAGCGGTCCTGGACAGCCTAGATGGCGAAAGGGGTGAAAGCTGGACCAATGGACCTGGCCCAGGAAAACAACATTGCTAGGCCTCAGCAAAGCGCTGGAAGGCAGCGGGCTTAACGGCCCTAGGGGACCCCGCGGTTGAGACCTCCGCCCTCATCTCGTTTGTTCAGCGTGGAGCCCTAGAAAGGAAAGCAAATCCCACCGACCTTTTTGCCTTCTCCTATTTCTCCCAGCTCCACTTCCGGACTCAGACGAGGAGACCAGTGCGCTTTGGGGTTCTCCGGTGTGGCCTCTGGCTCTGACCCGCCTGGAACTGAAGGGGCGTCCTGCTCAGAATGAGTGCCAGTGGCAGGGGGGCAGTTTATATCTGTCTTGCCGTTGTTTGATGTACACACACCCGCACTATTTACTACCAAATAAAAGAAATACATCTGTGTTGCCAACAGAAACAGTTCAGGCGCTGGCTCTGCGGGTCTCCCAGGGCCTAGAGACGCTGCTCAAAGCCACAGAGAACCGAGGAGCCCAGCACGTGGGGACCTCGGTTCTGAGTGAGGTCCTGGACCAAAGTAGCAGAAAATCCAGGGTGGGTAGTTGCCAGCTCCACTAGTTGACCAGATGGCTTATGAGGAGGCTGCACAAATATTCCCAGGGGTTTTTAGGAGCCACTAGGCCCCCCACCCATCCTTTCCCAGGATTCTTCCCAGTTTGCCTAAGCCTGATGCCATTGGAGAAAACCAGCTGTCAGGGTCACCTCAAACAGAGTGTCCAACTATGTGCCTTAGTCACAGAGAAGATGCTAAACTGACATGGTGTGTGTGCTAGAAGCCTACAGATATGTTGTCTGTTAGGAAGTATAAAGTTGTGTGTGTGTGTGTGTGTGTGTGTGTGTGTGTGCGTGTGTGTGTGTGTGTGTGTGTAGCATTTATGTCAAGTGTGAGAGCAGCCTGTGTTGTTTACATGGGTATCTCTTTGGGCCATATAGAAAGGATTTAGAGGCAAAATGAAGATTACAGAGGCTTGAAGATTAGTTGAGGTGCAGATCAGGAAGAATCAGAAATTAGGGTAGGCAGATTGGGTTCCAAAATCTGAAGGAGAAGTCAAAGGGTAAAGTCAGGGTGTCTGTTCAGTGTCCTAGACATGCACTGCCCTGACTTCCCCTATGGAATGCGCAGGAGGAATCTCAGAAGGCACTGTCACTCTGCCCCAACCCCAACCCCTTTTAGTAGTTCCTTTGCAGAAGTTTGGGCTGGGAGGCTCTCTGGGTAGGGGAATGACACCAGTCAGCCCCTCAGATGTGACAGTCCCATCAAGTGGTTTCTTGGCTTCTCCTGATAGGAAAGCCTCAGAACAACCTGCAGTTGAGGTTGGGATGCTTCTTACTCAGAATGACTTCTATGTTCCACATCCCTGCACCCTGGCTCAATGTGTCTTGCACTGGGAGAAATACTAAACTGCAGCCAGGCCAGCCAGAGAAGGAGGTTTCCTACCTGGGTCCACTTCCAGGCTCACACAGCTGCCAGTACCCAGGCCACAGAGGCATCACTTTCCTCCCCCAGGGAGGCACCATATTTCTAGGGAGGAAAGCTCTGGCTAGGGCAGCAGAGCTCCTCAACAGAAGGGAAAGGGAGGCTTCTGGGAGCAGGACAAAGGATAAACTGTGCTTGTGGAGAACCAGTTATTTCTTGACTTTGTAAAGACCTGGTCAGTCAAGAACCGTTTTCTAGAATCCAAACAAATAAAGAAGTATTTTCTTGGCGTTTGATAACATCGTGTTCTGGCTGTAAAGTCAAAGGACGTGTTTGCTATTGCAACATCATTTTTAATGAGCTGTTACTGGCCTGTCCGGCAGTTAGTATTGCCAACAGTAAAAGCCATCAGTATGTTTGCAGGTAACACAAGGAACGACATATTTTGACCCCGAATTTCTGTTTATTTTTCAATTACGACACATGCCCTCGTTTTTATTCCAAACCAGAGGGAAATAAAGGGAAATCTATCTTCACTGGGGTCCGGGCTAAAATTTTGCCATAAATACGCATGCCGGTTTATTTGGGAGCAGTTTTCCATCAACGGAAAACGATACTCCACGTTTCAGCCACAGTAGACTCAATTGTGACGATTGAGTTTGAGGAGCTTGGAACGCCCTGGAAGGAGGCAGCGCAGGCAGGCGCTCCCCAGCGGTGGTGTCCTGCCGCGTGCTCTCAGAAATCTTCTTAGCTTCGGGTTCCTCATCTCCCCCTTTCGGCTCCCCAGCTTCAAACGTGCGCTGCCAGGAGTATGCAGGGACACCCTCAGCTTGAAGGCAGGCAACCACGCTGGTTGGCGAGGACCTCCCAAGCACCTGGCTTCCCCTGGGCCGACCAGCTCTTGCAGGCGGCAGCAGCGCCTTCCCTCTCCAGCTGCCCACCAGCGACGGGTGGTGGGCCGGCGCCAAGCAGCCCGCGGGAGCGGCTAGCTTGGCGCCGGCCAGGACAGGGGGCTCCGAAAGGCTGTCCTCGATGCTTTGGGCGCCGGTGGACAGAGAAAGGTTGCCCGGGAGGGGACACGGTTCTCTCCATTGCGGCTATCATAGCTAGGTGGCTTCGGGTCCCTGGCCCTTGGCCTATGAGGACAGCGCCCAATTCCAAGCAGCCACAGGGGCGGCAGTTCTCCCAAGCCTTGCTGAAGCTCCCTCCCCTAGAAGTGGGAGCTGCCATGCCAAGAGTTGGTGGGCTTCCCCAGAGGGCTTGCCGAGGCCCGGGTCTCCCAGGTGGTTTTGGCAATTGGCCTCCGGCCCCAAGCTAAATTCTCAATTCACCCTCTCATTCCCCCCAACACCCCTGAAACAACCAGAGCCACTACACTCCTAGCCAGACATCCCAAGGACCCTCTGCCCAGAAAGTCGCGACTCTTGAAGGAACAGTGGTTTGGGAACAAAACGCTAGGCTGTAGCTCTGCGTTTAAAAATACCGTCTTTAAGCTCAAAGCTGTCGCTTTGCTCAATTTCGCAAGCTAGATAAACCTAGGTCTTTTCCCTTTCGCGCCCCATTCTTCCCTACTCCCAAGGCACTTCAAGCCGCGGAAGATACTGGGGAGAGAGCGCCCCTGGACGCGAACAAAGCCGCCTCTGTCTCCGCCGCCTGCTGGATTATAGGGGTGTGCCTCCAGGTCGGACTTAGTTCAGAGGCAGCCAGAGGGAGACAGAAAAGAGACACCTGCTCTGGGAAAAATCATCCAAAGTTACACACTCTGGCAACATGAAAACTTCGTTCTTTTCTTTTTAATTAATTCAGTTTCACGACAACATTAAGTGTAACAATATTTTGTGGGTTTTTTCATTTTCTTAAAAAGGGTCTGAACCCAGGAAAAGAGGGGGATGAAGGGAAACAAACTACTGCAGAACAACAGGTGTAGCCGACAGAAAGAAAACAAGATTGGATGGCAGAGCAAGGAGCCCTGCGGATTTTGAGGGTGAATTTTACAAGAAATCTGTACATTTATCAAATAAGTTAAAATTCTCCTAAATTGATTGTCCTTCACTTAAAGCGCTCCAGTATGCCTAACTTACTCCTTTGAACATTGCTACCTATCCTTGTTTTCTTCCTTTCCTCTTCCCCTCTGCTTAATTTTCTCTTTCTAGAGGAATGACTGCAATTATACTGCAAAAAGATCTGCTTCCCTCTTAGAGGAAGGAGCAGGGATCTCAGGAAATTTTGTATAGTATTGCACAGGTCAAAGTACAATAGTTACTGCAGAACAAAAAGGTAGGAGGAGAGGATAAAAGATAAGTTTTAAAAAAACATCAAAACCATTCTCTCAAAATAGGGAATAAAATAATAATAGTAATATCAATAATTTACTGACAAGTGAAATTCCCCCAAATAAACGCTACTAATAAATAAGACTATTCAAACCACGCCAGATGTGGAGCTATTTCAATTTTCAGAGTTCTGATTTTGGGCTGTTTTGTATTTTTTCTCCTTAAACACTTCAGTAGAGAATTCTTGGTCACAAAGGGAGATAGATGAAGATATTCATTGCCACAGACCTCTCAAGGCGAGAAAAGCTAGGAGTAGGGGTTCCCACGAGAGGCTGCTCAGACTCTGAAAACGCAAGAAGTGTGGAGGAAGAACCACACCCAGAACTCCAGAAATAAAAGCACTACCATGAATTCTTTCTCTTTCTGGACTCTGAAAATCGCTCAAAAGAAAATGAATGAACTAGAGGGATTAGGGTTTGGGGCTTATTTTCCTTCTATAAAAATAAAACCCAAAAGTCACTGCTCAATGCAAAGTTAGGGGAAGGGCTGCACCCGCTACAAAAGCTTTTAGTGGGAATGTTTGACCTGGGAATTTTGTCTTTTTCCTAATTAGTAACCACAACCAAAAGGAGGAGGAGAAGCGCCTCAAATCCATTAGGGATGAATTGCACGAAAATACATTGCAAATACTTACAAAACTCTACCGATTGGGGGAGGGGAGGCCAGGCAGCGCGCCGAAGCCCCGTTCCCAAGGCCGCCGGACGTCTCGCCGCCCTCGGCCCGGCCCAGTCTCCTCTGGGGTCTGGGAAGGTGGCCGGGCACTCCCTTCCCCTCCCCTCTCGGGCCTCAGACCGGCCGTAGCAGTGGCACGGATGAAACCACCGGGTGCGAGTAGTAGACCGGGTGCGGGAAGGTGAGCAGCGGCTGGCTGACCGGCACGGGGGCCCCTGCGGCCGCAGCCGCTGCGCCCTCGGCCGCCGAGTTCTCGTGGTAGAGAATTGGCACGCGCACTATGCGCTGCGCTGCCGCGTGGCTCAAATTGGCGGCCTCCAGCTCCGCGGCCAGCTGCCGCTTCCACTTGTTGCGGCGATTCTGGAACCAGATCTTGACCTGCGTCTCAGTGAGGTGCAGCGACGCGGCCAGGCCGGCGCGCTCGGAGCTGCTCAGGTACCGCTTCATGTCGAAGGTGGACTCGAGCTGGAAGACCTGGCTGCGCGAGAAGACGGTGCGCGTCTTTTTCTTGCGACACGCGGGTTTCTTCTCGGGACTCTCGGCGCCCTTCTTCCAGTCCTCGGCGCCCGGCGTCGCGGCCGCCGCCCCCACGTTCGCCCCGGCCGCGCCCGGAGCCGCCTCGCCCTCCTTCTTGCCTTCCTCGGAGTCGCTCTCCTCCAGAATGATCTCGTCCGGGCTCTTGGAGTCCAGCTCCTTGTGGTCGGGGTCAGCCTTGAGCAGAGGCTCGGGGGAGTCGCGGTCCGTGCCAGAGGCTGGGGAGGAGTCTCGCAGGAGAGCCTTTTCCGAAGCTGGGGAGACAGACAGACGAACGCACACACACACGCACACGGACACAGCCATGAGCTAGGCCCGGCTCCAGGGGCCAGCAGGATCAACCCGCGCCGGCCTCCAGGTTCCGGGCCTTCCTTGAGGCCTAACCGTCCCCGTGGGCCTTCTCCTTCCCGTTTGGGCTGGAGTAGGGAAGCCGTGTCCTGGGATCCCCCTCCTCCCGAAGACAGGAGAGCAGATAGTAGCAGCCGGGCCGCTCCTTTGCATTCCCCGGGCTCCCTTGCCAGGGGCCCGCGGAAAGATTCACCATCCGCCGGTGTCCTCCCGGGACAACCCCTCTTTCCAGGCGGTATTTCCAGCCCTGGCCATCTGAAGCCACTCCAGTCAAGCCGGAGGCCACTTTTCCAGGGAAGCGCCGCGCCCCCGGCTCCAACTCCACCTCTTTTCTCACCAAGTGGGATTGAATTCCCGGACAGCGCAACCAAGCGCTCTGGCTGGAGATGCAGGCCAGGGGCGGGAGGAAGTTAGCCAAACACCGGGTTTGCGGGTTGGGGGATCCCAGAACTGCGGTGATAAGCAGCTCCAAGCGGGGATGGGACAGGCGCGGGGAGGGAGGAAGAAGAACGAAAATTCAAAGAGGTCGGTACCTTCAGGTCGCGGGAGGTGGCCGCCGGCGGGGGTCAGGGTGTAGGGGTACCACCAGGCCGGGGAGCGCTCCAGGTAGTGCGCAGGCAGGGCAAACCTCTGCGCTGGGATCTCAAAGCGGGGGAAAGCCAGGTCGCCCACCTGCGAGAGCGCGAAGCCCGCGGCACCCTCCAGGGCCCCCTTGGCTGCGGCGGCTGCGGCGGCGGCAGCGGCGGCGGCGGCCGAGGCCGGTGCGAAGAGCGTCCGTGGGGGCGGCTGCGGCTTAGGGGGTGGCCGGTGGTGGTCTCCGTTGAGCAGGTTCTTGATGGAGAACGGGGACTCCTTGGGCGCAGGAGGCGGGGGCGGCGGAGGCGGGGGCTGCGCGCTGGCAGTGCCGGAGGCATCCGGCCCGGGCTCCGGCATGGTCCCCTCTCCTCCGGGTCCTCGGGAGGGAGGGAGCGGGACGGGCGGGCGGCCGAGCGAGCAGGCAAGCGGCCGGAAATCAGACCATAAACGGAACTCAACTACGGGGCGCAAAGTCGGGGGCCGCCCCGGGCGCAAATCGAGCCGCGGGAGGGCGGGGTGAGGACCGGGCCGGGGCGGGCTCGCATGGGGGAGGGGTCCTGAGGGGCGGGGAGCTGCCCTGCCGCGGCACCGAGGGAGCGAGGCGGCTCAGCGGCGGCTGCAGCTCCCGGGGAGGAGGCAGCAAGAACAGTCCCCGGCTTGGGGCTGCGTCAATCCGGCGCCGGATGCTAATGATGAAATCAAAATGTCATCCAAGTTAAATGCGGGGAGTATACGGCGATTGGGCGCGTACAATGGCAAATGGGATTAGGCAGACGAAGGCGCAGCCGAACCCCGGCCCCGCAGCCGCCTCCGCCACCGCCCCCTCCTCGCCTTCCCTCGGATTTTGGCGCTTTGGCTTCGGGCTATAAGAGCCCGCCTGTTATTGGCTTTATATAGTCCAATTAGGCAGCAAATGAGGACAAACCTATTAGCACAAAAGGATATTGGCTCCCGCTAAAGAGGCACTAGGAGCGCTCCCAGGAGCGCAGGAGGAGCGAGGGACCCAGAGCCCGCGGCGCCCCCGGCCGGCCAGAGCGCACTGACAGGGGCTAGTGAGGAGCCGGAGCCTCTCTCCCCCCTGCAGCTCGGGACCCGCTTCTCGCCTCCGGGCCTGCGGGAGGGGGAGGGGCGGGCCAGGCCCTCGCGGGTCACTTCGGGGGTTATAAACGCTGGCAGCTGCCGCTTCCCTGCCCCCCGGGGCTTGGCAGGGGCTCGCTGCCCCCGTGCGGCTGAAGAACTCCCAGCTCCGACACAGGAGGCAGGACACGACCTCGGACCCCAACGAACTCAGTACTTTCCTACCGGTTAGGGTCCGGTGGCCTCAGCATTTCCCCCAAAGCCTGCTAAGAAGAGAGCGGCCACGAAGAGGGAGATTTGGGTTCACCATCCACCGGCTAGTCGTTAGGAAGGGAGTTGGGGAGTGAGTCCTTGCACTGCAACCGCGCGCTCAGGAATCCGCGTAGCTTTGGCCTTTGGCTCTGGTCTACCGAAGAGTGAGCTTTCCCTTGGGAAGTGAAGTGGGTGTGCGTCTCTGCGCACCCGCGTGTGCGCGCAGGACTGGCCGACGCCCGCGCGTCATTCTTTGGGGGTGTTGGGGTAGCAGCATTCTGGCACCCGCCGCTGCACTCCAAAGAGCACTTCTCTTTTCCGGATGTCTGCGCTCCAGGCTGAAGGATCAACTTCCGAGCCTACAGTCCCGAAGTCACTTTCTTCCAGGAAGTTTTTCCCGCTGGCGTTTGAAGCTGCCCAGTGCTTTAAAAGTAGCTTTGTGATCGAAGGAAGGCGTAGCGGAGTATTTGCCTCGGTTTTAGCGGTGGCATCCACACCAGAAGCTTGTCCCAAGGGTCTTCAAGTCCCTGGAGAACCTCGTCGGGCCTCTGAGGAACAGCTGGGTGGAAAGTCTCTCTGCTCCTTCGGCTTCAAAAACAGCTCCCCGGGTCGCACGGGGAGCCCAAGAAGCAGGCATTTTTAGACTCTAGATTTAACCAATCATATAAATTAGAATTGTTTGTGGGGTCCCTTCCAGAATGACAAATCCCTAATCAAGGAAAGGTAGCAAAGTATCTTCACCCACCCTTTGCCTTTGGCACGCCCGTAAAGCCAAAATCTCTTTGTGGCCCCTGTACTTCCCCAATGCCTTCTTTTTCGTTAGGCCCTGCCTCGACGGACACGACCATTTGGGGTCACCGAGTGAGAATTGGGTACGTTTTATTTTTCTGTCACAGGGTGTCAGATCCTCCCCAGTAAAATCTCCATAGGTGCATTTAGTGTATCAGCAAATCTTTACCTACAGAAATAGACCTTACTTTTTCTTTGGCTCTTCCATATAAAATTATTATTACTTTAGTGTGTGAAGGGCTTTAGTGGAATGCAAAACGCTACAGCATCCAAAATCCGAGTTGGAACCAGTCGCATTTTTGAGACTCAAGCAGGGTGGGTCTCATGCTCTGATTTTATAGGAGGAGACAAGCATCTAGAGAGGAGACCGGGCCTAGATTACCTAACCAGTAGTCAACACCCAACAGTCACTTTTCCTAACTGCAGAAATCGCTCTAGGCACGTAGGTCTATGCAGGTTGCATGTGCATTGCCTGCACCTAGCAGGCCAGGTGTGTGAGGCGGAGGAGAAGCTCCTACTGGTGCGCACTCGCGTTGTGGGAGCTCTCCGGTCAGTCAGAGGCGTGCAAACTTAAAGTTTTGACGCATGAAAGCCGCCTTTCACCTGAGAGAATTGGAAAAGCTTATCACTTCGCAGAAGGGTCGCGGGTGTGGCCTTTTGCCTAGCATATGAAAGTGCCTGGGTTCAATCCCCAGCACAGGGGTGGGGGTGGGGAAATCTCAGAAAAAGGAGAAAAGACGGAGGGTTTTTGTCTAGGGCGGGTTCTTGGTTGATCACAACTCCAACACTAGACCCCAATGGAAATGGGGCTTGCCTTGGCGTGAGAAGATTTCAATGCAGCTGTCCTTGACCCTTGCGATGCGGCTTCCGGGTTCTCACCCCTCTTTTGTCGTTCCCGACTGTGCTTCCCCTCTCAAGGGGCGCGCAGGGGCGCTGGTGGTTGTGTGCGCTCCCTCGCTTTCACTAGGGAGGGGGTTGTTTGGGTGTCGGCATCCCCAGCCTGTTTTCTGAGTTAGGGAGGCTGAAACTGAACAGCAGGATAAAGAGTAAGATCTATCCTTTGGCTTCAAGAAATCCCCAAGCGTCGACAGAGCGGTCCACTTGCCCTCTGGCGAGGGTTGTTGCGTGTTACCTGCGCCCACGACTCCATTCAAAGTCTGGCAAACAGCGCCCTCTATGGGGCATTCTCTAAACCAAGCCTGCAGGCTCGTCTGGAGAAACCAGTCCTAGCGCACAACATTTAAAAGCCTTAAAAGCCTCTGGGCCTTACCCTTCCCTGCGGCGGTTAGTGAACAAAAGCATTTTTGTCTGGATTCCAGGAGAAGCAAAGGGTGAAATAGCCTGCAGGTCTCTGCGGATCCTTACCTGGCCATCACAGGAAGAGGTCTCCTCAGCCTCCCGCCTTCCTCTCGCTTTTCCTTTTTTAGGGCCCGTTCTGTGTTCCAGGAGGCACAGAGGAAAGGGAGTGGACTGCCTTATTCGTCTTTTTAGGATTTGGCGTGCCATCCGCCGACCAGTGGATGCTCAGTGACCACTATGCGAATGCCTGCATGCCTGAGTGCGGTGGGGGGATGATGGATGCATGGATGGATTCAAAGTTCCCATTACAGTGGATAGGCCCACTTTATTTGGGCCTTCAGATAGCTTGACAATACCCAAAAGGAGTTTTTGAAAAGTTTAAGGAACACCTAAAGTCTTTTGATGACATGTTTTACAAAACCTAAAGGAGCCCCAAGGAGAGGACCAGGAGGGTGTTTCCGTGGCTGATCCAAGGCAAGAGGGCTGCGGGCAGAGCCCAGTCTCCACGCCACGCCCCCTTGGGAGGAGGGGCCAGGAGGGCAGAGGAGATCTAGAGAACACTAGTGATTAATACACACTTTTACACGAAGCATGAGGCTTGGCAAAGGAAGACTTAAAATAGTCCCCCCCCCCCACACACACTATTCACAAACCACACATAAGCATATGCACACAGAGAAGTCAGTAAGCAGTGCTGTTCTCTAAGGAAGGGGAGCATTTGCATATATATACCACTTCCCTAAGAGAGGTTGCTTTCCTCTTGGATCAGAACAGGCTTCCTGAGACAGCCTACCTTACCCATAAAGAGGAGTGGAGACTATTTAGGCTTTTTTTTTTTCCATGGTGGGGGGGACTGGGGACTCGACCACTTGACCACTGAGCCACATCCTCTGCCCTATTTTGTATTTTTTTTTTTAAGAGACAGGGTCTCACTGAGTTGCTTAGTCCCTTGTCTTTGCTGAGGCTGGCTTTGAACTCTCCATCCTCCTGCCTCAGCCTCCTGAGCCTCTGGGATTACAGGCGTGTGCCATGGCGCCCATCTTATTTAGTCTTTTAACCAAAGCTACAGAGACCCAGACTGTAGGCCCCCACAATTAAAGTAGCCAGAATTTTCCCTGGTCCTGATAGTCACATTTACCCTCTCCATCTCCTGCTTGTGTGACCTTGATTTGTAGGCAGAATGGATGAAAGCCTGGAACTGTGAACCTGGGGAAGCTGTGTCCCTGACCCTCAGTCTTGGAAAGCTCTTGCCCATCTTTTCACAGGCCACCAGGAATGTGGCCCCCAACCCCTTCCTTTGGCTAGTGAATGTGACCCTGAGAAAATACATAGTTCTAGGAGATGAGACACAGTGCTGTCCTTGATTAGGTATGTGTCCTGAGTAGCATACAATGTCCTTAGAGTGGCTGTTAAAGGTGATTTCAGCTAAGAGTCACCCAGTCCTCATTATATACCAGGCACTATATCTGGTGAAGTAGGTAGAATTATTACTCCCACTGGACAGATGAGGAAACTGAGGCACAGATGGTATAAAAATGGGAGCTGCAGAGTCAACGCTGGCTACTGCTACTATTAATCTTCATGCATTCCCCCTTTATTTACTTATTTATACAGGGGGTTGGATACAGGAGCTCTCTACTACTACTGAGCTACTTCTCCCTTTAAATTTTTTTTTTTGTTGTTGTTGTTTTTAATTTTGAGATAGGATCTTGCTAAATTGTCCAAGCTGACCCCAAACTTGAAATCCTTGTTTCATCTTCCCAAGTAGATTACAACTATGTACCACCATGCCTGGCATTATTCACTCTTCAAGATGAGCCCACAGGCCAAAAATGTGTTCTTGAAAGTCTTCTCTGAGAAAGCTAACAGGGGCCTGGGAGGACTCCTTACTCTGTCTCTCCTACATCCTCTCTCTTTTCTCTTGTCTTTTTCTAAAGCCCTTCTCTCCAAACCAGAGTCCTAGGTTGCTTTCCATGTTTAGTGTTCTCCTGAGGGGAAAAGAACTGCAAACTTTTGCATTTTGCTCCAACCAATCTTGTTGTCCAAAAGCATCTGAATATTCTCTGAACAATGGCTGGTAATTGACTGAGGTTTTGACGGGACCCCGAGTCTGAGTCTCATCTTGATAATTATGCTGCATGAAAAGGAACTCACTACAAGCAAAGCAGGATTTGTGTCCTTGGGAAAAGTTCACGGTCCCAGACTCCATCCTGGGTGCTTATCTTCCTCCAAGGTCTCACCCCTGAGACCTGCTGTATTTGCCACACCTAGGCTCAGAGGGAGGCTACTAACCGCAAAGCTGTGTGGACACAGTCATTATTCTTTGGTTTCTCTTATCTTGCTAAGACAGGCTAAACTCTGCTAAATGCCAAGAACATCAATACAGTGTATGGAGCAAAAAGTTTTGAGCACCTGATGTACCAGGCACTATTCCAGGCTCTTCGAATGCCTCAGTGAACACAGGAACCCCATCCTGGTGAATTTACCCTCTAATGGAGGGAGCACGTAAATGAAACAGTGTGGTAGGGGTGATAAACATTATGGGGAAATCTTAAATCCTGGGCGAGGGACAACATTTCAGTATTAAATCTGGTAGGCAAGCGAAGCCATGTTGAGAAGGTGAGATCTAGCAGCGACTGCAGGTGCAGGTAGGATGAATCTTCCAAGCAAAAAAAGGGCTTCCCCGATGGCAGGAACCACAGGGAGGTGTGGACAGGGGGGCCTGGTAAGAGGAGGAAAAGGGACCCATGGCACGGTTCCCTGGAAGCCCTGGGCTTGGAGTCCATCTTTACACTGAGTGAAATGTAGTAGTTTTTTTTTTTTTTTTTTTTTAAATTGTCAACCTAAAATAATGACAGAAAGAGGCAAGCTTTCCAAGAAGTTTTACAAAGAAAGAATTTATTTAGAGATAGCAAGGGATTGCAATCTGCAGTTGACCTGGTGGATTATAGGTACATCACAGGGACTGGGGTAAACAGGAAGCTTCTAAAGACAAAAAGATGTCCACAGAAGCTGTTTTGAAACAAAGACCATTGGTGGCAGGGACTTGTTGCAGGAGTTGACATTAGCTCATTGATGGAGGTAGCATCAGGCTAGCCTCCTTGTTCAAGTGGCTCAGCTGGAATACTGAATTTTTAAAGAGTTCCT